GCACTGAATTTACTTTTTTCTAATTAAAGGCAATTAAAGATTTGCAGACACAAATAAAAGACAATGAATTGAGGAATAAGTGTAGGAGCAAGTCCATTTGCAGGTGAAAAGAAGTGCCTTTGAAGCAGAACCAGCTGTATTTTCATTGAAAGAATAACAGTTTAGGAAGCTTTTCTGCATGTGCTTGCTTGATAGCATAATGTACCCATAAGCAGCTTACACAGTACAGTATTCAGAAAATAGCAGTGCATTAATTTTTAAAGTAGCAAATGCAGGAGAAGAGCAATGCTGCCACATGATGATAATGAAGGTGGATATTGTAAAGTCTACTGAGAGAAAAGAAATCAGGGAGCTCCTGAAATGTGGACATATATAAAACAATAACTAGATATTCATATGATAATAAGCTTGGACAGCAGCATCAACAAAGGCCAAAGATGCAGTCCTGTTTCTGCTTAAGCCTGATGAATTGAAAAGCAGAGAGGCAGTCTTTAGTCTGTTATTCAATTCCAATAATGAGCTATTGTTAAAATGAAAAAGTAAATATCTAGAAGGGCTGGGAATGTTTTGTGGGGTTTTTTCCCCCTCATGAAGTTATTCTAGAGATTTGTTCAGGTTGTATCTTTATGGCAGCATCTTTAAACACAATCATGAATATAGTCAGTTTTCTTAAACATAGTGCTCAGCATGTTGCATTCCCAGTTACCTGTATAACAGAGCTTGGTATGTATGCAACAGTACAGTGTTACGCATACTACCTGGTAATGTCACAGTATTTCTGCAGGCTAAAAACCAAATAGTTTCCCGGAATTTCATGAACTTTTCTAGCTCATATGTATTATTTAGTTTGATTTTTATATTAATCATGGTGTCACTGAAGAACGGTTTAAGTCAAGAAAAATACTAAATATAGAAGATCAGGTCATCTGTAGTATGTTAGGAAAATTACTAAATAGAGGATACATGGGATCTCAATTTCCCTTGTAAGTAGAGATAAATAACAAAAAATCTTTTCAAATCCTTATTTTTTAATTCCTAGTTACGTGAGGAGAAACAATCTTATGTTGCATATTGTATGAATCCCTAATATTTGCTCTGAGCGAGACACTTTGGCATTTATCACTATACAGCTTTGTTTAGTAGCGAAAAAAGTCCCTATATTTCACCTTGTCTTAATCTTTTTCTAATTCTACACCTAGGAAAATAGTCTTCACTTCTACCCGTGGAAAGCTTTACAAGCAGGATCTGTAAACAGGGCACAGCTCAGTTCAGCTACTACTGAGGTCACTTTGCCACCAAAGGAGTGGGAAAAAGTGTGCAAGAAGGATGGAAGGAAAGGGCGGGATGAAGGGTGAGCTCTGAGGAGCTTCCAAAGGGCAAAGGCAGCTTCAAGCACTGAAATGGAAAGGCAGATGGTCTTTGCATGCGGTCTTGGGAGGGACTAGCGGGAGGCAGGACAAGAAGAGAGATGATGGCTGTAGTCAGTAGGAAAAGTCTTATAATGGACTAGTTCTTTGGCCTTAAAAATAGAAAGTGATGGACTTAGAAAAAGTTGTAAAGAAAGAACTGAAAAGTTTGTAAGGAAAAAAAGGACAAAAAAAGGAGATTGGGTAAGTTATTAAAAAAAAAGAAGTCAAGAAAAGCTGGCACTGAAGTTTGAGAGAAAAGATAAGATGACAAATTAATAACACTAATGAGAAGTAGAAGAAGAAAGGATTTTGCTTAAGTAATACAAAAAGTAAGATTTGGTCTGGAAATTCTCCAATTCTATCTTTTTTGGCTTCTTCTTGCCTTTGTACATTCCCTCAGGAAAACTCAGTGTCTTGAACAGACATTGGGTAAAGCAGACAAATGGGGCTTTGTCTGTTGAGTCCGTCTTAACTGGCTTTGATGGTCACTTCCTGGGAAGAAGAAACAGCCTAAGCTTGATGACTCTGACAGATAAATGTACAAGAAAGCTTGCAGGATAAGTGAGATAAAACTAGAAAGCATTGGGAGTGTGAATATACGTATTGCAACTGGCTGAATTTGCGGGCCCGAAAGAACTTAGGGAGCCTGTATTATCAAAGTTCTGCTTTTTTTCCAGGTGGTAATGATCAGTATTCACATGGTAGGAGCTTTGCATTTCATAGTTCTTTATAGTTCTGTAGTGCAGATGTCTTTCCCAAGGCCTCAGAAAGTTCAGATGTTTTAAAAGTCTTTTAGTACAATTGCTGAATCTGGTTTTCATTACAAGAACTCCACAGATGCCCTTTTTAAACTTTTGCACTTGGTGGA